TTGTTTGAGTCAGGGCTTACTGTGTAGCTCTGGCTGGCCTGGAACTCCATACGTAGACCAGGCTGGCCTAGAACTCATTGAGAGCCACCTGGCCTCTATCTCCAAATGCTAGGATTAAGGGTTTAGGCCACCATGTCCCGCTATTTGTTTTTTGAAAGGGATTACAGGCATAGGTCACCAGCCCCAGCAATTGTCCCTTTTGATAACAGCCACAGAGAGCGAGAACTGGAGGACAGCAGAGAGAACCAGACTGTCTGAGTCTGGAGGAAATGGGTCAAGTCACTGCAGACGGAGGTAGGGGGGAGCCGGAAGACAGAAAAGGATGATAGCTGGAGGTGTGGCAAGGAGATATCAGGCCCAAAATGAGTCAGAAACTAAGATTCCAAAAAAGATGCTCTGCTAGACCAGAGACAAAGAAAAAAGATGAGTCATGCTGCCTCAGGGAAAAAGCACAGGTGCTGTCCTTGAGTCATATTCTGTACACAAGTAAATACAACCTGAAAACTCCAATTTCCTTTAGGCTTGATGATCAAGAGTTTTCCACGGTTCTCATTGTCTTAAAAAAAAGAGCCGGGTGGTGATAGCACACACTTTTAATCCCAGCACTAGGGAGGCAGAAGCAGATGGATCTCTATAAGCTCAAAGCCAGCTTGGTCAGCATAGTTGAGTTCCAGGACAGCCAGGGCTACACAGAGTAACCCTGTCTGGGGGGAAAAAATGTAGTATTTACTGAATAGTTGGCCTATGCACTCACCATTCTAAACATTTTACTTGTATTTAAAAAAATCTTAGTTACCTGTATCTATAAGTTATGTATAAGCCTGTATTAGCCCATAGGCAACCGAGAATTACACAGTGGAGGTTGGTTGGCTTGTCCACGGTTATTCATGTAACCTTGGATGCTTGCCTCCAGTCTGCACGGTATACACTGTAGCACACAGTTCCCTGTGATTTTAACTCATGTTTACCATTTATTATTTTACTGAGCTCAGCCTAGTCTTAAAAGAGGTGACTGGACATGTGCATATCTTGTCCAAATATTTTGATTTTTTATGTGGAAAACAATTGAGAAAAATTTCGAGAAGTATATTTAAGGGGTGGAGAGACAGCTCAGAGCACTGTCTGTTCCTCTAGAGGTCCTGAGTTCAATTCCCAGCACCACATGACAGCTCACGACCATCCTCAATGAGATCTGGTGCCTGCATCTGGCGTGCAGGTGTTCATGCAGACAGAACACTGTATACATAATAAATAAATAAATCTTAAAAAAATAAGTACATTTAAAGGAAAACATTTTTAACTTTACCACTTTGGGAAGTTAAAAGGCCTTTATCATAGTTTGCTACATAAAGATACTTTCAGTTTTTGTCATTAGAATTTTTTTTTTTTGAGATGAGGTCTCCCTCTTTAGTCCAGGCTTGCCTTCAACTCCTGGACTCAACTTTCTAAGTTACTGTAACTATCGGGGTGTGCCACATTGTCCAGATTGTCATCAGAACTCCTCATGGCAAACTTTACTAGATTTGGGTTTGTTCATTTATGGTAAAGTAATTTTTTCCTCTCCCTTTCAAAGAAAGTCGAACCTGGGCATGATGACCCAGGCCTAGAAACTGTGCACTTGGGAGTTAGAGGGAGGAGAACTCTGAGTTCAAAACCACCCTGGGCTCCACAGCAAGCCTGTGTCACAGGCTTTTGTGTTAGTGTGACAAAAAGCTCACCACAATAGCCTAAGGGAGGCAATCCTTGTGTCGGTGCTCGGTTTCAGAGTGTTCCTCCATGGTGGAAGATGGAGTCAGGAGCTGTTCACATCATGTCTGACTAGGAGGCATCCTGTGAGTCTGGAGCCAGAACCTAGTTATCCCCTCCAAAGCGCCTCCGGTGGCTCACTCCTGCTGCTAGGTCCTCATTCTTAAAGGCTCCACAACTCCCAGAATATCCCTACCCACTGAGGAGCAAATGCCAACATCCTGGACCGAGGGGTGAGGGGTCACCTCTCTCCTCCTGTTTTATAAGGTTTGCATATTTTATGTATTTTTATTTGATGTGTATGAATGTTCACCTGAATGTACCTGTGCACCACCATGCACACAGTGCGTGCAAAGGCCAGAAAGGGGCCTGGAGTTACAGACAGCTGTGAGCTGCCATGTGGGTGCTGGGAATTGAGGGCAGCCAGTGCTCTTAACCACAGAGCCATCTCTCCAGCCTCAAATCGAATATTTTTAAAAGTGAGATATTAAAAAAGAAAAAAGCAACAATGAAGGTTATGTCCTGTATTCTAGAAACTTCTGGTTAGGGTCCACTAAGGTGACACAGAGCAGACACACTCATTGGACTGCGATGTGCAAAGAATAGACTTGTTGTTTTCAGCCGCAAACAAACAATTACTATTGATTAACAGTAAAAAAAAATAAAAAGCATTGTGTGAATAGCTATTGCCCCTTAGAGCTATTTTCAAGAGACTGCCTTCCTTCCTAAGGACTGTGATGAACACCGTCATGTTGAGTGTGGTCCCACATCTAAATGATGGTTGATTAGTGTGGCATCTTCCCAGAGGTGTCGCAGGGGTTCACATGCCACACAAGCACCCCTCAGTATTAGTAAGGGATTCTCACTGTGGGAAACTGATGACCCTTCCAGGCCATCATCACACAGCTGCACTCATTGCAGACCAGACAAAAAGAATACGACAGAAATTCTAGGCCTAGGCTGCGACATGCTGTGACGTCAGGAGACCTGAAGTTGTAGCCGTTTCTGGATCCTTCCAAAGTCTATCTGCACCCCCTTCAAGCCTCAGCAGGAGTCAGTCATCTGCACAACACAAGATTTTTTCCCAAGAAGCACAGAACACTGAGGAAGATAGCCTTTACTGATCACAGTGGCGACCAGCTAAGGTCCTTCATTTTACTTCCTGCCAGGTCTGCCACAGGTAACCCAGTGGCCCAGAGTGGACAGTCTTTTAGTTTGACCGCCTTGTGGCAACCACCTGCTGGCCAGCCTCTTTCCAGTTTCTTACCTGCATCAGAGCCTAATCCTGGCTGCCAATTCTTCAGGAGACACCAGCACATTCCTCCTGCATAGGCACACAGGAGTCTCCATGCCCCACGGGGAACCCTCCTTCACATCCCAGCCCTTCCTCCAGCAGACAGGGAATCTCCCTACATTCACAACGCAGCCACTTTCAACAATGCGGTTTTCAGGAAAGCCACTTATCTTTCCACGCCACAGAAATCAAGACAGGTACTTGTTAAGAAACATCTAGCAACTTGCAATCTGGACTGTATTTCGTAACTTTGGGAATAACAGACTTAAAGATGTTCATGCTATGTCACACCAAATTCTTTTTGGTGTGTCCCAGCTGTGAGAAGGGCCAGCTTGAAGTCTGCAGTCACCCTATAGTTTTTGCCAGATAGTTTTCCCCCCCCAAGAGAAGGGCTGCCATGCTGCTGATCCAGCGCATTGCTTTAGTTCTTCTTCCATGACATCAGTGAGGGCAAGGTCACCTGCCAAGCCTCATTAAGATACCTGATAGCATAGGCCATGCCAAACAGCACAACCCCAACAACTGGAATCTCCTCTAGGGGCCTGCTCTTTCTCCCTTGAGAAGATCCGCAGTCAGCTCATTCTCGAGGCTCACTGACCTGGACCGGAAACCCAGAACAAATGATGACAAGCAACAGGGTCTCCTTAGCAGGACTCAGTCAGCACCAGCACCGTTTAAAAGCATTTTGAGGTAAGATCTCACTCTGCAGCCATGCCGGACGAGACCACACTATGGAGCTCAGACCGTCTCCAACTCGAGGGACACTTCCTACCTACTAAGTGCAGGGACTGTCGGTGTGAGCCTAAACTAGGGCCTATCTGCATTCCAGTTACTTAAAACCTGAAGCCTCTTTAGCTGGGTGTGGTGGTACTTGCCTACAGTCCTAGTCCTTGGGAGGCGGACATTCAAGGCCAGCTTTGGCTACATAGCAGTTTGGAAGCTAGCCTTGGCTTCACAGTATCAAGAAAAAAGGAAAGAAATAATAGAAAGCAGGAACAAAGAAGAAAGAACGAACGAACCCAGGCAGATCTCCCCCTGGTTTACACTTAGAATAAAGCCCGTATTTCTTCACATTTTTAATGTTTAAGAAATTGTGTGTATACACTTGTGTGCATATGTATATGCATGTGTGCACGTGTTTATACTTGTGTGTCTGTGTGCACGCATGTGTGTGTCTAGTGCCCACAGTGGTCAGAGGCTTTGGATCCCCATGGAACTGGAGGAACAGGTGGCTGTGAGCCTCCCCGTGTGGGTGGTGGGAACCAAATTCAGGTTCTCTGCACGAGCAGTGTGTTCTTAATCACGGAGCCATCTCTCCAGCCCCTTTGTTTTTTGTGTGTTAAACCATTTTATTATTTTATGTATGTGTCCGAGCTCTTTGCCTACATGTATGTCTGTATACCACATGCATGTCTAGTGCTGGTGGAGGCCAGAAGAGGGTTTTTGGATTCTTGGAACAAGTTACAGACTGTTGTGAGCCACCGTCAAGAGGCTGGGAATCGGACCTTGGTCCTCTGGAAGAACAGCCAGTGCCCTCAAGTGCTGAGCCATCTCTGTAGCCTCCTGAATTTGCTTTGTAACTTAAGAAGTATGACTTTACAAGATCTATAATAAAAATTGCCACTCCCCATAGTAAAAACTGCACAGGAGCCACCAAAAATCATTTAACTTCTCCCTTTTAAGGGAGAAAACTGCAGGTTAAGTGGCAAAGTCATCTGAGCAGTGGGAAGCACTGGGACAACTGTGCAGCTCTCTGCCGCTCCTGCGCGCGGTGGACTCTCACTGGGAAGCATTCGGATGCACCACACAGCAGTGTATTTGCTTGTTTTGGGTGTACTAGCTACACAATTAGCGAATCAAAACATAGTTAACAAGACCTACCAGAGAGAGCAAATGAATAAGGGATGGTGAGTGGTGAGTAAGTAATTATATCACAAGCACTTAAAGCTAAAAATAAATTCTCAACTTTTTTATTAGTCATAGGAGTCTATTTGTCACACAGAGATACATAACAGCTTCAGGAACAATTCTAATCCAAATTGTGTCTAGTTTGGAGAAAACAATTTTTTAAAAGATTATTTATTATTTATACAGCATTCTGCCTGCACACCAGATCTCACTATAGAGGGTTGTGAGCCACCATGTGGTTGCTGGGAATTGATCTCAGGGCCTTTGGGAGAACAGTGAGTGTTCTTAACCTCTGAGCCATCTCTCCAGCTCTGGAGAAAACAATTTTAGATCATATGGGACAGGGTACAAACACTCAACCTTACCTAAACTTCCTGAAACTTGCCTGTTGGCTCATAAACTTCCCACTTGTTCATAAGGGAGAGCCAGGGGATCAGGACACATGAGTCTACCTCTCTCAGTGTAGTCCTAGAGTTGACTAAAACTGCTAATTTGACATTATTTTTAACCAAAGGAGCCGAAGCATGGTATTGTGTTAACTGTATTTGGGGAAGACACTTGGAATGTGGGAAGAAATACTGAGGTTTTTAAATGAAAGAAAGTTCGATGAACACGTGCCTTGTGGGAAGGCACCGCAGGGAATGGAAGGTAATTGGTCTGCTTCAGTCTTCTGCTCCTGACTGCAGCAGCTGCTCCTGTCACTGCTAGCCGTTGGCTACCGAAGTCCCAGGTAGCTAAGTTTAGACGGCATCTGTCTGCCACACTGGATTATGTCTTATATTTCTGTGAGGGGTGGGGAGGGTAACATAGCTGACCTCGCACTGTGAACATGTGGAATTCTTCCTGCTCCTGGTTTCTCCTTCCAAGGCAGGGCAGCTTTTATGTTTTTGTTTTGTTTTTATCCTTTTAGTAATTCTCTCTCTAAAAGGGCATTTAAAGTTTTCGTTTTCTGTCTAGAGAGTATGACAGCTTTATTGGTACCTCAGACGACTCCATCATTATTGTTAGGCTTGGTTTTTGGGAGCTACCTTTACCTGGACAGCAGACACTCAGTCACAAGCTTGGAATATCAAAACTTGTAGGCTATGGAGAAAAACAAAACAAAAACACTGGGAACTCACTCTGTAGACCAGGCTGACCTTGAACTCATAGAGATCCACTTGCCTCTGCCTCCTGAGCACTGGGATTAAAGGCAAGCACCGTTTCTGGGGAGAAGGAGAACAAGGGTGGAAGGTGGACCTGGGAGAAGTGGGAAGTGAGCGGGATCGGGTGCATGTATAGGATCCCCAGATAGTTAATAAACATATCATGCTGGAAACCACCACACCCAGCTGCTAACTATATACATTTCATTTTTACAAGGAAGAAAGGCAGGGCATGGTGGCACCTACCTTTAATCACAGCACTTTGGAGGCTAGTGAGCCTGTCTATGTGAGTTCATGACCATCATGGTTTATGCGGCCAGTTCCAAGACTACGTAGAGCGAGCCTGTCTTAAAAAAAGGAAGGAAGGAAGGATGGAAGAAAAGAAGAAGAAAGGAAGGAAGGAAGGAAGGAAGGAGAAAGAAAGAGAGAGAACGAGAAAGAAAGAAAGAAAGAAAGAAAAACAGAAAAAGAAAAAAGAAAGGTGGGTCTGGGAAGCTAAGGGCAAGAATGATTATCTGATTTCTAGCACTACAAAACAAACTGTACATAATGCATAATGACTGTATCACACCTATAGCCTCCTTTTAATGCATAAAATTATGTATTTTAGTGCCACATAATCTCTCATTGAGAAGGAGCTATTACTAGAGCTCTATGTTAATTATGTTATATAATTATATGTCATATGTTACACTATATGGGTATCATTAGTTGTATGGTTGCACTTGTTAACATGTACTCAGAAAAGGGACTCCGAGTACAGTCTGCTTCACTTTATTACATACCTGTACTTGAAGACATATAGTTATGTTTAATAGGTCATGTGGCATGGAAAATGTTATGCCGAACAAAATTCTAGTTGATTTATTTCCCTGTCCAGCCTCTCTGCCTCCACCCTTCTGTCAAGCAGAACATGTGCTTCAGAGCCAGGAAAGCCTGCGTGTTGTTTTGTTTTATTACAGACACAGATCTTCACCTTGTCTGTTTTGTTCATAATTGCAATGCTGCCCTAACTCAAATAGTAAAATGAAAGGATGTAAATACATTGAACGAATCAAAAATAGGGAAGGAACTTGAAGAGATTTTAGAAAACACTGCGAGATGTCTTAGTAGGTCAGCCAGTTAAGACACTGGCTCAGCAGGTGAATACCAGTGTCTGGACGCCTCCTGCTCACGTAAGTGAGAGGCGGTCATGGCAACCTGGCAGTGATCCCAGCCCTGGGGAGAAACGAGCTTCTCAGGGCAAGCTGGCTGACCAGACAGCTGAGTCAGAGGCTCTAGGTTCGGGTGAGTGACCTGGCCTACGCATAAGGTGGAGAGATCAAAGGAGACCTCTCAAGCCAACCTCTCATCCCCACTCTTGTATACCAGTACACACACATGCTCTCCACATGCCCAAACACTTGGAAATCTGCGCAGACATACCTTCATACACCACACACCCTTTAAAAAGTTTTCTAAGAGAAAAGAAAAAAAGTCACCGGGTTTAGAAAACACAATAAGCAAAAGTTCAAAATTCCCCCGTTCTAAAATAAATCAGATTTATTCAGAGTTTCAAGTTGTTCTATGTCCCAGCTTTGAGGCGGGTCGCTAGCTCACTGGTGATAGACAATGACAGTGATGGCCAGAGTGGAGAGCTGAGGGAGGAACGGCCTGGTGATGCGGAGTCAATGACAGCGGGTGGGGAAGGACAGCAGTGCCGTAGGCAGACCTGGCAGGCGGCAGAGGGTGAACACACATGAAGAAGCAAACTCATCTGCTCGCTGTGTGGGCTTCTCTCGCTCAAAATGTTTTATTATGTTTGTTTAATTTACTTAAAAAAAATTAGCCAAGGTGTAGTGGCAGAGGCTGGAGGATCTCTCTGAGTTTGAGGCTAGCCCTGGTGTACTACTACGTGGATTCTAGGTCCGGACTACAGAGAGAGACATCAGGAAAAATCAGTTAGTATGTTATTTGTTGTGTTTATGAATGGTGTTGTGTCTGCATGTGCGTGTGTGCATTATACGCATGCCTGGGGCCCTTGGAGGCCGGAAGAGAGTTGTTGGATCCACGGGAACTGGAGTTACAGGAGGTTGTGAGCCGCCATGTGAGTGCTGGAGACCTAGTCTCCGGAAGAGCAGACAGTTCTCTGAACTGCTGCACTGTCTCCTAGTCCCTTATTTTGTACTTTTGTGTGTTTGTGTCCATGAACGAGTGTTACAACGTGCATGTGGAGGTGAGAGAAAACTTTTAGGAGTGGGTTCTCTCCTTCCGCCACGTGGGTCCTGAGGATCGCTGGAAAATGCTATTAGCTGGTGAGCCATCAACTCACTTATGGAACTCTCTTTAATTTCATTCTTTATCACCCCAAACCAAAGGATTGGCTAGCTCCAGAGAATTGAAGTAACTGATACTATTAAAAAGATAATTTATACAATTTTAGCAGAATTAGTTGAAATGTTCAAATAGGTTTAATGAAGAGAAGAAAAGCCTCTAGAAGCTGGCGAGATGGCTCAGTGGTTATAAGCACTGGCTGTTCTTCCAGAGAACCCAGGTTCCAAGCTCAGCACCCACATGGTGGTTTACAACCATATGTTCCAGGGGACCTGCTGCCCTCTTATGGCGTCTGCAGGCAGCGGTCATGCATGTGGTTCACAGAGTACATGCCGACAAAACACCCATAACACATCAAGTACATAAATAGAAAAAATTTAAATGAAAGAAAAGCCCATTATTGTTATATTATTAATTTCAAAGCTTGAACTGAAAAGTCTTTTCAGTTATGCGTGTGTTTGCTGGGAGCAGGGAATGGCTTGGTGCACATGTGTGGGTTACCAAAAACGTCAGAGGCCCTGGCCCTCCTGCAGCTGGAGTTGCTGCGAGTACCTGCTGTGGAGGCTAAGAATCAAACTGGGGTGCTCCGCAAGGGCAGTGAGCTCTTAACTACTGAGCCTTCTCTCTAGCCCCCACTTATAGGAAGAGAACTTTTTTTAGTAGATTGATTAATTAGTTGATTAATTCTGTTTTTTCTTAGAGTTTCACTCTATCAGTGTTCCAAAACTTTGCAGCAGGCTGGCCTCAACGTCCAGCGAGCCTCCTGACTCAGTCCCCCAATTGCTGAAATCATAGCCTGAGCTACCAGGCCTGCTTGTTTTGTTAACTCACATTAAAAAAAAATTATAAACTTTATTACTTAAAAAAACTTTCAAATAAAAACAAACAAAACCCAACTACCCCAAAGAATATTGTTTTTAAGTCAACTAATTGTGAGATTATTGGGGTGATTGTTTTCTAGCTATCATAGAATAGTGGCTGATGTATTAAGTAGGCATGTACAATCAAATCTTCAGGCTGTGCTCATCTGTACTAAGGAGACTTGTTTCCAGAATTGTTCAGTTATTACTAAACTAGGAGTATATTCTTTTCCAGGGTAGTGGAGAAATTATTAGGGACTTGAGCCTTATAAAAACAACAACAAAAACCTCCAAACATGGCTACATTTCTTACTTACAAACTTAGAAGCAACATTGTAATAGTTATTTACCTGCATGGAAGCCTTTTCTGGGTAATAAATACCTTGGTTGGAAAGGAATAAGTCTTTTCACACACACAGCCATTCCTTTTCTACAGTTGGGTATGTGGGTACCATGAGTGCTGAGGATCAAATTCATGGCTTAATACAGACCAGGCAAATAGTTTTCACAGCTGAGTAAGATCTAGTTAGGCAGAAGTCAATATATATGTAACAGAGATTGTATTAGCAATCTATTCTTTTTAGTTTTACTTTTTATATTAGAAGAAGATGATGGTATGTTTGTGTCTGTCTCTGCATCTGGTGTGTGTGTGTGTGACTTCAGGTGTGCTTGGACTGTGGTATGCAGGCAGAGTTCAAAGGGACCTTTCAGCAGTGTTCTCCTTCCACTGCGGGATGCAGTGACTGAAGCAAGCCTGCTCCTGACTCACCTCACCCACCTTATTTACCCAAGTCAGGTTTAGTAGTCCAGGCTGTATTGTAGCTGAGGCTGTCTTGACTCCTGTATCCTCCTGCCTCTAGTGTCTGAGGCTGGGATTAATGCATGCACTATCATGTCTGTATGGGTACTGATTTCTGTGTAAAAAAATACTTCAAAAACTTAAGTAAAACTTGAAGCTGGTAGATGGCTCAGTGGTTGTAAGAGTGCCCGCTGCTCTTTCCCAGAGGACTGGAGCTCAGTTCCCAGCAGTCGTATCATGTGGCTCAAAACCACCTGTAACTCCAGCTCCAGGGGAGCCAACACTGGCCTCACACACATGTAGTCTACAGATATGCGTGTGTATTCACATACAGCACACAGAAATAAAAATAAATTTAAAAATTATGTAAAAGTAATCACTGCGGAATGTGTGTGTAACTCTGAACTCAAGGGGCTGTCTGGAAAGCATAAACAGGCAACCACTGCGCCTTCCCATCTCCGAGTGATGGGGCATTGCTTTAGAACTGAGTTCCTCACAGGCTGTTCACAAATGTTTGGCTGGTGCTGCAGCCATCTTAAGGGCAGTTTACAAACTGTATTGGCAAGGATTATTTTCTTCCAGAATGTCATAGTGATGGCCTTATGTCTTTAAATCACATACAGGCCAGGTTAGCCTCAAACTACGTATCCAAGGCTAGCCTTGATCTTCTTTCTGACCCTCTTAACCCAGCCTCATGAGTACTAGAATATGGTGGACACTCATCCAGGTGCCCAGGGAACATGATTTCATTATCTGGAATTTCACAATATTACCCTAAGTAAATTAAACACATAAGCTTATGTTTGTAATAAGATAAAAGGGCAATCCAAACATCTCAGATAAGTATTTTAACCCACACAGAACTACCGCATATGTAGTTCATACAGAACTATTTACAGGGACAAGATCATGCATGTAATACTTGAAAGGGAACAAAACGTATGGATTACCATATCACAGGGGAGAGGGTTCCTTCAGGGCTAGAGAACCTTATACAAATGAATCTGTTCAAGAGCTTCTCGGTCAGCATCCATTTGTGGGTACTCCTCAAGGTGCAGTGGGATCTCTTCCACCCAGGAGGACAGCTGCAGATTGATCTATGAGAAGAAAAGCATGAGCAACAGGAAAATTACAGAATGATCTTATTATTTACAATTTCACAATATTACCCGAAGTAAGTTACATAATAGATTTTTAAGACTTATTTTATATTTATAAATGTTTGTATGCATGCTTGTGTATGTATTAGTCTGTGCCTGGTCCCCAAGAAGGCCAGGAGAGGGTGTCAGATTTCCTGAATCTGGAGTTACAGATAGTTGTGAGCTGCCATGTGGGTGCTTGGAACCGAATGCAGGTTCCAAGAGCAGCAAGAGCAAGAGCAGCAAGTGCTCTTAACTGCTGAACCATCTCCCCAGGCACCTACACAACAGGAATTTTACTATGATAAACAGGACTAAGTTTATACAGTACCACATGAATAATTTTTGTTTTACTCTGATTTTGGAACTTGAAAAAAATGTTCACAAATGCTTATAGATTTACTTATGTCTATGAGTGTTTTGCCTACATGTACACTGTGAACCACCAGTGTGTGCCTGGTGCCCATGGAATTAAGAAGAGGGGTTACCCTGGACCTGGGGTTATGAATGGCTGTGAGCCACCATGTGGTGCTGGGAAATGATCCCAGGTCATCTTAAAGAGCAACTAGTGCTCCAACCATCTCTCCAGCTCCTAGCATAATTGTTTTAATTAATGTAAGTAGTGTAATAATTATCCTAAGGCTTAAATAATCAAAGACAGAAACAATTGGAATACATGGAAAACACAAAGATCTTCTCATTCCCAAAGTACTGGCAAGAAGCAATCTCCCTGCAAAACCTGCATGAGACTCCACCTTTCAGCCTCTAAACTTGAGCCTCCACAGAAGGCTGGAGCCATCACTGTACATGTCTGTTTAAGGTGGTTTGCCTTTTAAACATACTTAGCAATTATTACTATATGCATGTAGATGTGAGGAAAGCTCTTCAGAGTCAGCTCTCTCTTCCATCGGGGATCTAGGGATTGAACCCAGGGTGCCAGGCGGCACAGCAAGAACTTCTCACATGCTGAACCATCACACTGGCCTGAAAGGTGTTTTCTTAAAATAAGAAAGCAACAAAGTCATCAAGTTTATGCGTAAGATCTTGTTCCTAAACTTCCTAGTTTCTGAGACAGGCCGGCCTCCAGCCAGTGCTCAGTCTTCGCGCCCGGCCTCCCACCTACCAGGCGTGCAGACCTGCGTCAACCTGTCTAACTTTACAAGTCTGTAACACTTCATTGTATTTATGATTTGTGTGCACGTCTGCTCATGTGTGTGGCTCCTGCTACCTCTCCAGACCTCTTTGTTTTGTTTTGAGCTCAGGTCTTTCTTCTCTAGGCCAGGATGCCCTTGGAGTCATTCGTGAACCACCCGGTGGTTGCCTCTGGATTGCTAAAATTACAGGTGTCAATGGCTGTCTAGACAGATTCTTGTACACTGCATTAAAACTGGTGTTTTGGGGGCTGGGAAGGTATCTCAGCAGTTACGAGCAAGTACTGTTAACAACCATTCCTAAGTACAGTTCCAGGGAATCTGATAATCTCTTCTGACCAGCAGGGCCACCAAGCTCACAAATGGTACACATACGTACAAGCAGGCAAAACAGTTTATACACATAAATAAATCTTTAAAAAGCTGTTATTTTGGTAAGTGAAAAAAATATCAACTAAATTGGCTTACAAATATAAATATTATAAATTAGAAACTTAAAACGACTATTTTAATTTTTTATTAATTTATTTTATTAATATTTATTAATTTATTTTTCAGTTTTACTATATACATAGCTCTGGCTGGGCTGGAACTCACTCTGTACACTAGGTTGGCCTTGAACTCAAGACATTCTCCTGCCTCTTCCTCCCAAGAGCTGGGATTAAATGCATGCACCACTAGGCCTGACCAAGAACACATTTTAGAAGGGATGTTTCTATGAGACTGGGAAACTATGGTAGGATCACACTGCTGACGGCAGGGCTCTCAGGGGAGAAAATGAAGCAGGTAAGCTGGGATGAATACCTTCTTTACACATTTCTACTTTATTTCCTTTGCTGTAACAAGTACAATGAGGGCAGGCGAGATGGTTCAGTGTTTAAGAAGGCTTGCTGTGCAGGCATGAGGACTGGACTTCAGACTCTAGCTGGTTCTAGAGTCTATGGAGCTGACAATTAGCATCCATCATCCTGCTCAAGCAGACTAGCCTGGGCCACAGATTTAAAAAGAAAAGATGATTTCAAACTGACTTGGGAGATCAAACTGTGCATAGAATATAGTCTTCCACTCCACTTGTTTGACTCTGAAATCCTTGGACAACTCTGACCCTACTACAGCCCTTTATTTTGTCTGACAAATTCTCATGTGGAGCCCGACTGGCCGAAACTGCATTCCTCTCCCATTCCTTCTGTGCTAAAGGACAGTGTTAAGGTGTGGGTATTCATTTCCGAAGTTTAGTGTTTTGAGAAGGGGTTCTGTTGACCAGGTTGTTCTCATACCAGTGGGTTCAGGTGACCTTCTGCCTCGGCCTCCCATGTGGCAGTGTGCAAGCTTGTCATCTTCCTTCTCAGCTATAATGTGGGTGCTATGTCTCTTACCCACTCTGTAGTGTTTAATAGCCTACAAATATGACCCCGCAGTTGTTAAAAGTGGTGTAGAGAAACAAGGGAATCTATATCCAGATAAGAAATGTATTTCAGTGCTTTTGAGGGCAGGTGATAAGGCACAGAGCAGTACTTGAGCAGTGTAGTCTTGGAAGGCTGGAGATAGAGATCGGTAGGACAGTGCATCCCCAGCATGCAAGAGCCTTGGGTTTTTGTTTGTTTGTTTGTATTTGTCAAAACAGGTTATCTGTGTAACCCTGGCTTTCCTGGAACTCTCTCTATAGGCCAGGCTAGCTCTGAACTCAAAGATCCACCTGTGTGCTGAATAAAAGGCCTAGGCTACCACATCCAGCTCACTAGTCTAGATTTAATTCCCACCACCACCAAAACCAACCAACCAACCAACTGCAGAAAAAGTAGTTATGTACCTGAAGACTCATGAGAGAATCTTGGAGACTTGGTACTGTCACTAGTAGCGATCCTCGTTTTCTTACGTTATGGATGATGGAGTCCCAGGCACTAGAACACATCAAAAGCTGATCTAATGAATCAATAGTAAGATAATGTTGCATATTAATCACAACAGAGAAAGCTCTCTTGTTCAGTGTCTCCTCTTTCTCATGATGGGGAGAAAAAGAGAGAGCCTCTAACATGCTGAGCAATCTGCTCTAAGTTACAGCTCCAACCGAGTTTGGTGGTGCAACCTGGAATCCGGGCACTGAAGAAACGGAGGCAAGAGGATCCTCTTGAGCTTGAGACCAACTGGGGCACACAGTGAGCTTGAGGGCAACAGCCTTGGCTATAGAATTAGACCTCATCTCAACAACAACAAAAAGCACCAAAACCCTGGATGTGGTCTTTACTATACAATCCAGCAACTCTACACTTTGCTATTTACACAAAGAAGTTGAAAACATGTATCTACAAAAAAGATCTGTACTCGAATAGTTCCTGTACTTTTACTCCTAACCGTCCATATTGGAAGCAATCGTGAGATCCTTCAGCAGGAGAATGGGCGAAGTGTGATATATCCAGACGACTGCACACTGTTCAGTACTAACAGAAGATGTGTGCTTAAGCCACGAGGACCCAGAGGAACATTGAAGAAGGAACCTAACCTGAAAGGGCTCTGGATGCCATGACTCTACCTAGCACATGCCAGAAACAGAACACTCTGGGTTGGTGAGAGATGAGCGGTCGCAAGGCTGCTGTGGCCAGGGCTTCTGTGACCATGGAGGACCGCGGAGCATCGGAATGAGCACACTGTTCTGTGAGAAGAATAATGGCAGACTCCGCATGTGTGTGGGTAGACGGTACAGACACCTTTATCTTTTTTACAGTTTTGCTGAGAACTCAGAACTTCACTAAAAAAAAAGCAAGGCAAAACAAAACAAAAACCAATGTGTAAGCTTTTATTAGACAGTGGATTTTTTTTTCTGACTAAAAATGACAGAAGAAAATTCAGACAGTATCTAGAAATCTAGATGGGCAAAATGTTTACCCACAGGAAACAGCAACACAGTAGAAATTGGCAAATTTTCCAGTTCCTGAGGGGTGTTGGCAAAGTTATGAGGTCAAAGTACTGAGATTACCAAGATGGGGATGTGGGTTACTGTAAGTTTCTCAGTAAGGAGAAACGAAGGTTTCAGTCACACAAGCCAAGCAGGTTGAGCACCAAAGCCTTGTAATTGCTCCACAAAGCACATGAGAATCAGCCCTTCAGATTAGGCCAGGGCTGAGATTGCTAGGGGCTGAGGGAGAGGAAGAGTCCTTGAAAAACAAGGGGCACTAAAGTCAGAAACAAACAAACTGTGTGTAGACATGCATGGTATGTAGATTAGATCTTCTAAAGCTCACATCAAGAGTGAAGTCATACCTCACTTGGCTGGCTGTACTATTTTGGGATGGAATTCCAATATCATATGGCATCTGCAAAGTTTGGTGGGACTAGGAACTCTACAGGACAATGAAATGGGCCCTGCCGAAGGTGTCGGAGAGCAGCGTGCTTGACCAGTTCTGCCTAACTCCGAGGTTGATATGCACTGGAATCCTACACTACGTATGGTCTTGGTAGTTTGCCGCAGCAGTGGGGAACACAGATGAAGCGAGGCAAGTAAGGCGGGGGGGTGGGGGGGGGGGGGGGGGGGGGGGGGTGGCGGTGTCAACTGTGCTGATTAAGGCTATGACTAGGAGGTTTCATAAGCCTCAGAACTTCTTAACAAGACAACACAACATTCTTTTTTCAGGATGTATATGATAATCACATACCAATGTTTAATAACAAATGTCCCTATGTCAGCCAGAGCTTTTTATTGTGATGTGGCTTCTAAAAATGATGTATTTTACAAGTTGATTTAATACAAGACTGAAGAACGACATTAACACTATCTTTTCGTTTACCTGAGACAGGACCCTGAACTAGCTATTTAGCCAAATTCACTGTCACAGACTAAGCAGAAGTGCCGTGTTGTGGCTCGGCTTGGTTCCTGGAGCCCTGACTAGGGGCAGTCAGAAGAACTGATGGGTGGGCTGTGCTCTCCGACGGAGACTCAGTGTCACCCTGGAGGCTCTGTGTGTTCATTACACAGCTGAACAGGTTAATGCATGCAGCTGAACAAGGAGGCAGGTTATTACCTACAGCTCAACAAGGAGACAGGGTTTACGGTGTACCGCTGACAAGAAGACAGGCTTAGCTAACCTCAGTAGGAGCAGTCTCTGTAGGGAGCAGTCTTCAGCTGTAAAGACCTAGGGTGAGAATGCTTTGATGCTCATGTTCCACACACACCGCCAGCACCTGCGCAGGGAGGGCAGGAAGGCTTTGCACTCCCATGTCGCAAGCATACATTTACCCAGAGCTCCATGCTCCCTAACCAGAAGTTATGAAACGACCTCATGGAGCCACCACTTGTTCACCACTCATGTAGTCTCTAGGAATGAGTGCGTGAAGAAAGCTGTTTTTTACTTCTGTGTAGAGCTTCAGGGTCTCTCAGCAGGGTCTCACTATTCGGCCCTCGCTGGCCTGGAACGCGGAGATCTGCCAGCCTCTGCCATCCCACGCTGGGATTAAAGGCGTGCGCCGCCACCTTATCTAAATATAGAACCCACCCCATGCAGTTCACCAACAGCTCACATCATTCCGTGTCCAAAATCGGTATATTTTGAAGAATTTAAGGCATCTTTCTTATATCAGTGATGTTATATCCTTCAACAATTACATAATATTTATCTGCAACTAAGTTTAAAAGTAGAAAAGCTGCTGGTATGGTGACACATGTCTGTCATGCCAGCATCAGGGCTGAGGCAGGAGGGCTTGAGGTTCAAGGCCAGCCTGGGGTGCATAGAAAAGTGATCAGACAGTTGCTACGTTTCCCACTAGCTGACAAGTGGAATAAGCTCCAGGGGCCTGTTATTACTTCCTTAAGGACAGTGTTAAGAGGATGGTGGGACAAAGCTCAGACATAGAGCATTTGCCCAGCATGTGGGCTCAACACCACAAGTGTAAAACAACAAACACATAATTAGTTTTCCAGGTGAATATTTCTCATCTTCTCTATAAGCCTCGGCTAATCCACTTTTTTTATGACAGCTGTGATGCTAGGGTTAGTTGTTGATTTGACAAAAGCTAGTGACATCTGAGAAGAGGGACTCTGGCTAGCTCTTAGGGGTTCTTTTGATTGAATTAAGGGGAGGGAAGGGAGCTGAGCTGGTAAGCATGCGCTCACTGCTTCCCATTTCTGTATGGACACAGCTGTCGAGATGCTTTACTCTCCTACTGCCTCGACTTCCCCATCACCTCGGACTGTAACTGGGAACTAAATAACCGTTCTCCCTTAATCGCTCGTCAAGAGATTTTTATCACACCAACAGAAAAAGAAACCAAGGCAACAGGCTAGAAATACAATGGTATTTTACAGAGAAGAGAACCAAGGCAAAGAAGAGTAAAGACCCACGGCCACTCTCTTAAACTGTACCCTAAGCAAATGCACGAATCATGCTCTCACTGTATATCTACCAAAGATTACCTGTTACAGGGACCACTGAGGCTCAGAGTATAAGGTGGTTTATATAAAGTCTGGTGACCTGAACTTGATAACCAGAACACACATGGTGGAGAGAACGGACTGTTGCTTTCTTTTCATCTCCACATACCCACACAATAAATGTAAACATTCTTTAAAAATTAAATGTATTTTACAAAGTGAGTTTTTGTCAAAAATTTGCACTTTGCATTTAATCTGTTTCCTTATTAAAATAAGTTGATATCATGTATGAAACTGTCAAAAAATAAATAAAAATATTTAAAAAAAAACTTGAGTGCTGGATAGTGGTGGCACACACTTTTAATCCCAGCACTGGGATGGTAGAGACAGGCAGAACTTGAAGTTCGAGACCAGCCTGGTCCACAGAGTAAATTAGCCAGGACCACAAAGAGAAACCCTGTCTTGAAAGAAACAAAAAACAAAACAGTACAAAAAAACCCCACACTGAGTTTGTCATTTTAAAGTTGGCATGAAAACATTTCTACCTTACCAATCTCTTTTTACACCTTCCTGAATGTATTTTAGTAATAGATTTCTTGCTCCAGTAAATAACATACCTGGCCTGTTCAGCCTCAGTGAGAAAATATTCGAAGACATTGTTCATTACAATGACATCAGCACTCTGCAGGAGTGCACTCTGGGTACAGATGTCAGCATGAAGCACCTGTAGAAGAATGAGCTCGGGTGAGACAGTGAGGACAGTGCATCACGCAGCCATGTAGGAAACACGCTGGCTCAGTGATGCTGTGGGGGCCCCCGCCTCATGATTATTTCCTCTTAATAGAGTTCTGAGATTTTCCCTTTATTATTACATTATTAGGTTTAAGAGTCAAAGGATGGAGGCTTAAGTTAGAGCTCTGCCCAGCTAGATTTGTACTCTTTAGGTAGGTTGTTTTTGTTTTTTTTTTTTAAATAGTAGTTATCAGTCCTGATTACACAATATAAAAAATATAAAAGTAGATATGAAAACAAGACAAAAAAACAAACCAAAAGCCTTCAAGAGCTGGAACAACAGCTCACTGGTTAAGAACATTTACTGCTCTTGCAGAGAACCAGGTTTGGTTCCCAGCACCCACAGGGTGGCTAACAGCTGTCTGGAAGTTCCAGGGGACCCAATGCCCTCTTCTGACCCCAGTGGGCACCAGGCACACATGTAATGCACAAACATACATGGCAAGCAAAACACTCATAGCACATACAATTGAAAAAAATCTTACAAAGACTCCACACCCTTCAAAACCACTAAAGTACATTTATAAACAGTCAAATGTGTGAACTTGATTCTAAAATTCACTTGAAGGTACTACCTGTCAAAAAAGTAAGCAAAAACATTTATTTAAACACTATATAGGGCTGAAGACACGGTTTAGCAGTTAAGAGCACTGAGCTCTTCCAGAGGACCCAGGTTCAAGTATCAGCACCCATAGGCAGCTCACAACCTTCTATAACTCTGGTGTCAGGGAAACCAACGCTCTCTTCTGATCTTTGTGGGCACCAGGCACAACATACAGTGCACAGACATATATGTAGACAAAACACTCATACCCATAAATAATAAATAAATCCTAAAAAATTTCCTATATTCCTCAGAAACATAACTTAAACCAGAATTAAGGCTTTGCAGACCACGGGTAAGATAAGAAGATACACGTACCTGCTCGGGAGCAAAACAAATAGATTTTACTTAAAAAAAAAGAGAGAAGAACTTCTTATGTGAGCTATAAATACTCAAGCCTTATATAATATGCAAGGTGTTGTGTGGTCTGGTTCTAAGAAACATTCTTTTAAATAATAAACATCCTAAGTTTGTTTAAATTCATTTGACCTAGGACCTTTAAACACAGCTTTGACACGGTCATCAAGAAGACGACAGCTGGGCCAGAGATGGGTTCAGAGAGTTAAGTAAGGCTCTTGCCGCAAACAACCAGTTAATAATCTCAGACAGCAGAAGCATGTAGCTTAACTATGCAATACACACATAAGCAGTAGGGTTATCGTCCTTCTCCCTTTTATCCTTAGTTCCTCTTTTCTCTTTCCCATCTAACTTCACTTTCCTTTGTCTACTCTTCTACTCCACAGACTGGGGAAAGAAGAATCAGAAGGATCAATTAACTGTGGCAGTCAACAAAAGCACCCTTAGGGGGCCAGTAAAACCCCAGAGGATGCTTAGGGGCATACTCTGTGGACTGAATGGCAGCACAGAAGCCCTAAAACAATCAAACCCAACCAACATTCCGTGGATACCTCTTACATGCAAGAGGACAAACCAGGTTAAATGCGACCCAGTATCTGTGCCAAATGTTACACTATAGTAATGTGATGAAAAACAAAACTAAATGTAACTGCAGTGACTCCTAACGCCATCAAAGGAATGAGCCAGAGCAGTGACAGGGGAGGGTCAAAGTTCAGTGCAGCCGGAGGAGAGGGATGGGAGAATGTGAGACAACAGATCCCCCTACAGGTTAAGACAGTGGTCAAACTCAGACAGACACATGTATTCACTCCTTTGTAACGACAATATGAACTTGCTAGCTTTTTTTTTTTTTAATAATAAAAAAAGAGCTAAAAACCAAAAAAGATGAGGGAAATAAAAATAAAAATAAAAACAACAGACACAAAAACTTCAAAGTTAGTAACAAAGAGAGGAGAAAGTCCTAAGGAATTTAGAAGAGGAAATCTGAAACACTGATTTCTGAACTAGAAGTAAAGAATCAGGACTTGACATGATTTGTCACAGCATCTCTGCAAGCCTTTGGCAGTGGCTGGTGAGAGAACAGAGACAAATACTAAAAATACGAAGGTGTGATGGAAAGTCAGTTTAGGAACCATCAAGACACCACATGCGTTCCCACCCTACAACAGTGTTCAGGTGTGCTGGATAGGGCTAGAGGCTGGCTAGAGGCTTGCTGGCCAGGGAAGGGTGAGGAAATGACTGAGAACAAGGCAGCCAAGGGGAGACGCACACATTCCCAGGAACCGGCAGCTCCACAGCCCCTTCCTCTTCCACGAAGCTCCGGGGACTCTGCTCCCATCCAGCTGAGATACCACAAAGTCTGCTCTGGACGGTCAGCCCAGCGCTGAGGGAAAGACCTCAGACATCTCCAACACTCACGATCACACAGGAGAGAAGCCCTCGATTAAGATCTTCAGTCTAGGTGCTTAGAACTTCAACCGGCTGTTTCTCCTTTCCTCACTGGAGAACCCCAAGCTCCATACACAAGGTAAGCACTCTACTGCAGAACCACGCCCCTCCACGTCTTGTTCCTCACTCAGGCATGAGCAGACAACCCAGACTGTAGACTGTTGAGGAAGACCTTCCTAAAAATGACCACCACCCACCCCTCAAAAGACAGACAAAACCTCAACAATAAATTAAAAAGAAAGAAAGAAAGAAAGAAAGAAAGAAAGAAAGAAAGAAAGAAAGAAAGAAAGAAAGAA